AGGAGAAATTATGGCTGGTGTCTGTATCCAACCCAGGATCTTTGCAGGTGCTCTAAACTGACAGACTCGTAGGAAGCAATTATCAGTTGGGAGAGCTGACATTTTCAGTTGGAGGCACTTATCAAATACCAAAATCTCCTTGACAAGCAAAAAAAGGTCATCAGACATTATTTACTGAGTGGTACAAGTGAATGGTAGCTATATATTTTCAATACTGTTCTATATATCGACAAAATAACTGGGTTCCCGGTTCCACCAATTAATGCAGCCAAGATGACCCGCACATACAAAACATATATTCTCAAATCCTGCTCACGGCCCAAAGAAAAGAATTATATCTATTAACCGGGAATCGAACTTGTGTCTCAAAGTGAAAAGAGTTGCCCATAGTGAAATTTCTCCGCAGAAGAGGGACTTCTTAGCAAAACAAAGTGAGGTTCCCCCTGGTTTGGATTTTATTCATATTGTCATAAAATGCTATTTCCGGGACAAGTTTTCTCTACGATTTTAATTGACTGTGTGTATTTTAACTCGACACATCGCCGCAACCCACACCACAGCCAGAACATACGTTCTTCACTTATTCTGGAAATGCCGACTCCAGTTCGAGACTATAAAGATGAGCTTAACAAAACGATTGATCAATTGATTTATTTATTATTTAACGTCCCTCGCTTATAGAAAGGAATATTTTAAGAAACGTGGAGAAAGACACGGACACCATTAATTGATTTTTCTCCAAAAAGTAAAGTGTATCGGAAGTGCTGATTCACTGTCGTTGTTGTATCATCAGATTTCCATATAAAGGGGACTGCCCCTGGATATATACTGAGGTATTAAGAATCTTTTCCAGTCTTCCAGACTATATGATGTCTCCCCAAGGTATCCCATCCGAACAATAGCAATACTAGTATATTGGGAAAATACTGAAAAGAACTATTCGGAAATTAAATTTAAGAGGGAAGCCTCGCTTTTAAGGCATCGAGAGGGGCTTGTTTCGAATAAAACTTTAGACATAGACAAAAATTCAATTCTGCATATTACTTTCCATTTTACATTGATTTGAAAATGTTTTTATCCCCATGCAACGGAGTTGGAGGGGATACAGTTACGCATTTGTGCGTGTTCGTGTGTGGGTGAGTGAATACCCGAGAGAACCCAAAGAAAGTGTCACAAGGAAACAACTGTGAAAAAAGTCCTTGTATTAATTAGTTATTACTTTACTTACTTAGACCTGTCGTTCCGTGAGGAACAGATGCCATTGACGACAGACCTCCAACGAAAACGATCCTGGGCTGCTTTGACTGCGTCCTGCCAGGTCATGTCGGGAGTCACACCTCCATATGTTTCTTGGACACCCCCTCTTTCTTTTGTCATGCGCGTTCTAGGGCCACGTTTTGATGCTTGGAGGTGGCTTCTTTGGAATGTGTCCGATCCAGACCACTTCCTCTGTCCGATTTGTATACGTCCATCGGTTCTTATCCTGCCCTCTTTTATTATTCTTCCTTTGAGATCCTTTCAGCCCATGCTTGGGATGTTGAAGATGCGCCTGACACAGGTGTTGTAAAATGGCAAGATCTTCTGGAGGGCTGTTCTGGTCAATCTCCACGTCTCTCCACCATACAATAAGAAGGACTTTACATAAAAGTTGAAGATCCGTAGTTTAATAGTAATGCGGATGTTCTTTGAGGCCTAGGTGTTCTTTAACATGGCAAATGCAGTTCTAACCTTGCCAGTTCTTGATCTGATGTCATGGTCTGTGGCACCCTGTCTGTCCACCACACAACCCAGGTAGATGAAGGCCTCAACTTCTGGAGTCACCACCACCTCTGACTGGTGTTTGGGAAGTGGTGTTGACCTTCATCATTTCTGTTTTCTTTAAGTTGATCTTTGGTCCTATTCCTGATGATGTTAAAACAAGGCGAGTTGTTTTATCTTGCATCTATCTGTGGTTGTGCAAAAGAAGAGCCATGTCATCTGAAACTTCTAGATAGTTGAGTTGCGTCAGGAGTGTCCACAGTATACAATTACTGGTATATTGAGCATCATCCTTACTGCAGAACCCAAGTCTAAGTTAGGGGCCATGCATAAATTTAGCAAGTTTGGAGAAACACTCTTTAAGATTCTTTCGGCTGCAGAAAACAAGCTGGTGTTTATGAACATAGGTATGTTGCCCGCCATTTGTGTCGGAAGATTAATCCGACTTAACCCTAGCTTCGATTCCTTTAACTTAAATTTGCCAACAAGGAACAGATGATGTTAACCACTATATCTGGTGTAAATATTTCAGGCCAAAGTCTGAACTCCGTATTTCCTTTAAGTATACCCAGTTACTTCCAAACTTTTCAAATATAAGCTAACTTACAGTTCTTAGATATTAAAAATCTTAAATAATATCCTCTTACTGTTTTGTTTTTCTTCTTTTAACTACACGTCATTACTATTGATGTCAGTAAAGTTGAAAATGATAACCTAGCAGGCAGAGGAAAAAAAACATCAACTTCCTAGTACCTGAAGAAAACTTGATAAGCATAAAAGGGAAACTTGTCCAAACTCCGAGTCAAATACTGGCGGGGTGAAATGCTGGTATGGGGCCCAAGGGATGCTAAGTGTCACCAGATGTCATCTCTAAAACCTCTAGTTAATGCCCAACATCTCTAATAGGTTCTGCCAGCAAGTCACATGTCACACCTCCCCGTTTTGGTGACCCTGGAAATGCTTCGGTAGCTGAGTGATGGTGGCAGAATGCGAGACTCCGGAGGCTTTCAATAACTGGAACCAGTGACTTGGGGAAGGAAAACCCCCAGAAAACCACCAGTCCTCCGGGTCAAACTGGGGTTAGCAACTTCACCACATGAAAAACATGCTATTGAAACCGTAACATATCACAACATTAAGCTCGAGACCAAGATCCTGAGGATTACTCTAAAGAAGAGCTCATGACGTGTGCAGATGAAAGCCATCAGGAAACCAGTTCACCGGCAAACCTTCTGTCGATATATATGGCAAACGTTAGGATAGGGATCTGCAATATTAGAACCCCGTGTGAGGTCGGAAAGTCTGCCAAAGTAGCAAAAGGGATGAAATGATATAACATCACGGTACTTGGTTTATGTGAAGTAAGATGGAATGGAAGAGGACCAGTCTGCTTATCAGGCGCTGATCGAGAGACCATCATCTACTAAGAATATGATTGATTGTATTTTTTTAACGTCACTCTCGAGAAATTTTCATTCATATCGAGGCGCCACCACTTGCCGGTGGAGAGCGGCAAATTTTGTCCTATACTCGGCACTTAGGGTCATTAAGCAGGGAGGAATCTTTTTCGTTCCAGCACCTACTGCAACACGGGACCTCGGTCTAAACGGTCTCATCCGAAGGTTTTTTTACGTCTCACAGTGGGATTCGAACCCGCAACGTAAGGATCAACTCATTACTTCGCGAATTAGGAGCAGTCGCTCTAACCGCTGCGCCAAACGGGCAACCTCAGGACATGAGGACCAGGACCATATGCACACACTCATGGGGTTGTCATAATGCTGTCATCCACTTGAAGCAACAAAAGCAATGATAGCATGGGAACCAGCGTCATCAAGACTCGTGCCAACCGGGTTCTGTTTCAAGGGAAGGAAGGAAGTACGACGTTCATTCAATTCTATCCTCCAATTAATGTTGCAGAAGAGCATGAGAAGGGAGAAATTTATTCTGCATTACAGTAATTGATGGACCGTGCACCTCGCAGAGATATAAAAATTGTGATGGGAAAGAAAGAGGGCGTACAAGGCGTGGACAATCCCCCGCTCTGAGAAAATATGTTTCTCAATTTTCAAAATTCACGGAAAAGTTATATATAATTTCTAAAATCATGTTCTCCGTAATGTCATCTTCAAAATAGTTTATTATTTTATTTTTACTGAACGACTTATCAGTTGACAATCTTGTTCTCAAAGTTGACAGTTAAGCATATTTAGTGGAAAATGGGTTAACTAGTGCAATAGAAAATTAATTTTGAACATGAATTGGATACGGCAAGGATCAGACACAAGCTCTGATCAGCTACACTGAGGATGAAACTCAGAGCACTCAAAGACAAATCAAACACACCACACTACATGTTCAACACCCAGTTTCTTAAAAGCAAAGAGAGAGGAGTTCAACATTGCAACATATAACAAGTTTGAGACATCAGAGTGTCTGACAGTGTCCACTGTAGAAGATCATTGGATTAAGCTTCAAGACATTTTGAAAAGTGTATACATATAGTGAAGAAAAAAAAGAAAAGGAGAGAGCACAAAGAGTGGGTGACAGCAAGGTCAAAGTGGAGGGGGAGACTTTAAGCAAAAAATCAGCCAGTGTCAGAATACTCAGCAAATGGAAACTGAGAACAAGATATAGGGAAGCCAACAAGCAAGTCAAAAAGAGTGCTTGGGAGGAGTCAGTTAATTCGTCCATGACATGATTGAAGAGACAGATAAAGCAGCCAGACAGAACAGCATGAAAGAGCAATATGAAATAACCAGAATATTTCGGGAAGAAATGTGAACACCAACACTCCACTGAGGGACAAAGAAGGCAAACATCACTTATGACGTAGGACAAAGGGCTAGATGGGTAGAGAAATGCCCACCCCCCCCCTTCAAAAAAAAATTACTCGCTGCATTTTTACTGTTCAATACAAAAAAGAGTACTGTCGAATTTTTTTGAATATATATAGTCAGACCTGTGTAGATTTGTAAATTTTGGTTGAATAAAAATATTATTTACATTTACATGTACCTGTATATATTTATAAAAATTAATATCATTCAAAGATCAGGAAAGACAGATGAATGAGATTTGCTAAAACAGCAAAACCTTGTGTAGGTAAGTTTTTGAGTTGTTGATCCTTGATCACTTTTTTGAGTTCGATTTACGTTCAAATAAAATAGTGTTTTTCTTTTCAATGGATTCTTGTTCTCTTGTGACTGTGAAAGGCCCTCTAACATCCTATATGCCATCTCTCTTATGTACGAGTTAATAAACTCTTTTGTCGAAATATTTGGACTTCCGGTATTTTTTTTCAAAGAAAAGCTATGGGAAAACGAAAAGAATCAGGGACAGAGGAAGACATATTCTCAGGTAACAGCTTACTTTATCAGAAAAGAACTTACAGAAATCAGGAAATAAAGTTAAAAACTACATACGGCTGAGCCTTTTATTAATTATGTCATTACAATATATTGTGACAGAGAACATTCGAACTGTTAATGCATTCATTGACCAAACTCTCTCGGACAGTGACAGTGTTTGTTCTCGCGTCTTCAGAGAGACGTCAGTCAAAATATTTAGCCTTTACAAATCTTATTTAGATTAGAAGACAACCACAAAGGATAAACAAACATTTTGGGAATTGAGTATTTAAAATAAATTATTTTAATAGAGATAACTATTTCTACATCATTACATGTTATTATTATTGTAACATATATGGCAAGAAATTAGAATATACACTGTAATGATACAGATAGATATTTGTTATAATTTTACATGATTACAGATTCTTCAGCAGTTGGACATAAAAAGCATAAGAAGCACAAGAAAAAACACAAAAAGAAGAAGGACGTTGGGGAAGATTATGCCGTCATCCCCGAGGGAGGGACCAGCAGTGGTCCTAAAATCAAACTCAAGCTGAAGATTGGAGGACAGACAATGGGAACAAAGAAGTAAGCAGTCTTTTGATACAAACATACACTTTAAAATGTTCTTAATTCCTCGTTTACTCATGAAAAAAAATTCTGCTTTAATCCACACTAATTATTTTTTAAAATTGATTTTTGATTATAATTATTTGTTTTATTCCTTAATTGGTAAAATTTGACAAACTTGTCCTTTTGACAGGATAATTCATTAGTCTTTTAACTCCAGAAGAGTTATCTCTCTTCTCAGAGATCCAAGTTTAATGATATTTTTTTTATCAGTCTATTTTATTTTACTGTTATGCAATAACAATAGACATGTTTTATTTTTTTCTGACCATTATCTGGTATTTTAGTTTGGATAGAATTCCTCTTGAAATAATTTAATGTCTTAGTTTCTGAGTAAACACATTCATAAAGAGAAAGAGTATTTTTACACAGGTACTTGTGGACAGGACACACACACACACCCCTAATATTCAACCCCGGGGCTTATTGGAATTCTTTTTTCAAAAATTATATTTATTACACTTATTCATCATGTGTACAATATGAAGAAATCATCAAAACCCCAAAACAATCGCTCCACAGAAAAAAAACAAAAAAACCCTCTATACATTATAAGGGAGAAAGGTATGCCACTCCGGTTTGTTTACGTTGTACCCCCTCTGGTCTTTCTGGGTTTAAAAACATGTATTTATTTTATTTCAACCTAAAATGACAATTCACATCGTCTCTACATATATTTCTGTCTTAGTGCATGCTATTGGATTAACTCTGCATCTCGTAAGAATCTCACAATATCTGATTATCTCCTTAAACAGTTTTCCAGTCAGAACGTTAAAATTTCCCTAGGTAATCGCAACGGAAGTGCCTAGAGAATGTTTCACTTATTAGGATAACATCCGAGAGAGTTTTGGCCTGACGTAATCATCTCTCTCGGGTGTTATCATACATTCTCTATGCACTTCCGTTGCTTTTACTCAGGGAAATTTGAAACCGGAGTGGCAAACCTTTCTCCCTTATAATATATAGTGGGTAATTTTTTTTGCGGAGCGATTGTTTTGGGGTTTTGACGATTTTTTTCATACTGTACACATGATGAATAAGTGTAATAAATATTATTTTTGAAAAAAAATGTCCAATAAGCAAGAAAAAACACAGGGGTTTAAGAAGAAGGGGGGGGGGGGGGGGAGTCCGTCATCCACAAGTACCTGTGTATTTTTACTATTCAATATGTTCAAATCAAGTTTGTTGATAATAAGTATCAATAATAGATTAATGAATAAATGCTCAAGAAGAAGACAATTTTTGACTAGTGGCCATGCTTAGAAAGTTGCTGCCTACATTGCCTTTGTTTCTTTATTCATATTAAATTGCTTGTAAGCTTGCCATCAGTGGAGAAGACAGAAAACAGTGGAGATGATTCACCTATTATTGACGTCACAGATGAAACGTGGGGAGGTAAGTAAACTACAAATGTAAAATTTACAGATATATAATATTTATTGCTCTAACATTTCATTGGCTCCAGAATGTCAATGGTTAATGATATTTTTTTTAAAGCTATTTTATTTTACTGTTATGCAATAACAATAGCTTTTCTGATCTGGTATTTTAGTTTGGATTTTTACACATTTTGTCCGGCGTCCGAAATAATTTAATGTCTTAGTTTCTGTCTGTAAACTTTAAACAGAAAGAGTTTTTTACCACTGGGCCAATTTCAACCAAACTTGCCACAAAGCATCCTTGGGTGAAGGGGACAGTTTTTTTTTCAAAAATTATATTTAGGGGAGATAATTGGGAATTAATGGAAATTTGGTGGTATGTTTTAAAAATCTTCTTCTCAAGAACCGCTGTGCCAGGAAAGATGAAACCCATAGGGAAACATCCTCAGGTAGTGTAGATTCAATTTTGTTCAAATCATGACCCCCACTGGTCTTTCTGGGTTTAAAAACATGTATTTAATTTTTACATAGAAATATATAGGAAAATTCTTTAAATATTTCTTCTCAAGAATAACAAAGCCATAGTTTATCAGATTTATATGGAAGCATCCTCAGGTAGTGTAGATTTAAGTTTGTTCAAATCATGTCCACCAGGGGTAGGGCGGGGTCACAATGGCTGACCAAAGTTTTACATAGAAATATATTGGAAAATTCTTTAAAAATCTTCTTCTCAAGAATGACAAAGCCATAATTGATCATATTTATATGGAAGCATTCTCAGGTAGTGTAGATTCAAGTTTGTTCAGGGAAATCATGACCCCCGGGGGTAGGGCGGGGCCACAATGGCTTATAAAGATTTACATAGAAATATATAGGAAATTTTTAAAAAAATCTTCTTCTCAAGAATAACAAAGCCATAATTAATCATATTAATATGGAAGCAAAAAAGGTAGTGTAGATTCAAGTTTGTTCAAATCATGACCCCCGGGGGGGGGGCGGGGCCACAATGGCACAAGTACCAAAGTTTTACATAGAATTATATAGGAAAATTCTTTAAAAATCTTAGATTCAAGAATAACAAAGCCATAATTGACAGTTTTTATATGGAAGCATGCTTAGGTAGTGTACATTGCCTTTGTTCAATTCATACCCCCGGGGGTAAATTGCGGGGTCACAATGGCTGACCAAAGTTTTACATGAAATATATGGAAATTTGATTCACCTATTATTGACGTCACAGAATAACAAAGCCATGATTGGTCATGGGGCTACAAATTTGGATTTAAACTTATCACGTGTATATAAACCAATTTCTACTTTTTCCTAGCCACAGTGCTCATGTGAGCGATGTGGCCCATGGGCCTTTTATTAAGATTCTTATTTCCCTAATGCTTGTAAATGTTAATTTATTTTAACAAAAAAAAAAAAGAAGAAAAGTATGGATAACTACAATGTGTAAGAAAGAGTTCAAGGTGGGGGATCAAATTATTATTAACATAAAATGCCAGTTTCTACAAGGTATAATTAATAAAAAAATACTGGCAAGTGTAAAATTATGAATGTATGAATGACTTTTTCAGAAGGTGATGAGCCTTCTTTCCCAACAAAGAAAAAGGGTGATGATACTTCAGATGAGGAAAAGGAGTGGCTGGATGCTCTAGAGAAGGGAACATTGGATGATTCAGGGATGTTAAAAAGGAGCAAAGATCCTAAACTGATGACAGCTAGACAGGTAATGATCGTAATTGAGCTGATGATTGCTAACAAAAGGACTAAAACCACCGAGGTGTCATTGTGGTCCATGGGTCTCTTGTCGACTTGGACACATGGTGTTGCAATGGTAACAAAAAAAGGAATATCTTTGAAAAATGCTTCTACTCCTATTTTTTGTCTGATCTGAATGGTTTTGGTGTGATTTGAATAAAACCTTGTACATATACTAAGATACCTTTCTTTGATATAAGTACACATCTGCTTATTTTCACCATTTTCACCTCGGCAGGGGTAGACAAATACAATTTTGCAGTACTTGCCCTCGGACAGGTTAATATCTTAAAACTACTTGTCCTACCAAAAAATTTGCTTGTCCCACCCTTTTCTTAAATAACATAGAATTGAAGTATTGATATTGAATTATTTCTTGAGTGAAACACCTAAACAATACACTAAGAGTAATGAAGTATTTAATAAATGGAATCGAAAAAGGTGAAGATATCGAACACTGTTCAAACTCATAAAACCTACAAACAACACGAGCGCGAATCTGTGAACAGAACATTACTGCATGTCAGTTAAGAGATCGACACCATGGCTGTGTGATTGCCAGGGAACAGCAATCAACAACAAATTTAATACCACTAGCATCTGTATTCACAGTATGAATTTAATTTTTGACAATAAATGTCTAGATTTTATATGATATTTTTGACGACATCGATAACTCCATGTTTGACGACATCTGCATATTTTAACATTATACGTTAATTCACTTAATTGGTAAAATCTAGAGGAGTTCCGACTATTCAATTTATGCATATGCAGCAATGCAGTGATCAACAGCAGTGAAAACAAGTGCTTTGCTGTGATTCACGATACTTTTAAAGTGATAACACAAAAAATATTTGAGTATATCGTACATGATTTTTTTTTGTTAATTGGAAAAGAACTTGTCCGCGGGCAGGTACCTGTTATCAAATTACTTGCCCACCAACCAAAACTGGTTGTCCCGTTTGCGGGCAGTGCTATTTGTCTAGCCCTGCTCGGTAGATGCAAGTCCCTTAGAGAAGGACTTGTTAACTGGTCAGTTTTCTAGTCTATCGAGTAGCAAAGGTTTTGCATTTTTAGAAAGAAATGTTTATTTAAAAGTGTGAGACACTCTGTTATATTAAGTATGTACAGTATGGAAAGGAGGAATGAGTAAACATACATTGAAAATTCATACATGCATGTAAGATGAAAACATATGGCTGGACTGGGAATCGAACCCTGGACCCCTGTATTTCTAGTCAAGTGCTCTAACCACTGAGGTATCTAGGCCGATTCCTCAGTCCAGCCTAATTTCCTACATTTATATGGCAATGTCATGACCAGAGTCTGTCACTTACATACCAGGACATCAAGTTTTATCACTTTGAGATACATAAACATGTATACAATATACTAATAAGGTATTTTGTTTTTGTTTTGCTAAAAGAGAGCTCTTATTCATGGACAGCAAGCTGAACTTCTACAACTGCCTTCAGGTCAGAATCTACTCAGCTAAAAGTAGTTCATAGTTACTCTTCCTGCAAGATAAACTTTAATATGAAAGTAAATTTCTTATGGCATGTTCATTTTTCTTTATTTTTGTGAGATTGATTTAAGATTTACATATGTATTTATTATTGCACCATAAAATCTATGGCAGGAATGATGGGAAATGGTTAAATATTATGACAGTGGTACTCAGTGATGTTAGTTTACTAAATGTTCTGATTCCAAATCAGTTTAATTGAATATTATCAAGTTTTTATCTTTTGTATCTTCATAACAAGTTCTGTTTTATCTATAGGATATAAAACAGTGGAACTTACAGAGGAACAAGTGGAAAAACGTCAACAGAGGGCCAAAAAACGGCGACAACAGGCACAGGAAAAACGAGAGAAAGATAAGGTTAGATATATAAACGTAGATAAAATTTTCTTAGGAGGAACCAAAAGAAGGAAATATTTATGTTGGATTCCTGATACTACAAAGTTAATTTGAATATATGTAGAACATTTTTATATTTGAAAAGCAGTTATGTATTAAAACAACTGCATAATCATAATGAAATGCATGTAGTATACATAAGTTAGCAGAAAATGCAAATGTTTAATGCACTCAAATAACATTAATACATGAATTTCTTTACTTCAAAAATATTGATTTTTCTTATTTTTCAACAGAAACAAACTTTAGACAGACTTCTTAAAAAGCAGGAGACAAAATCCAAGGGCCCAAAGGTACATTTAACTTCTATTTTCTTCTCAACATTTCAAAGGATGTTTCATGTTTTTTTTACACTTAAAGATTGACAGTCTTAGAAATCTATGACTATTATGTAAATCTATGACCTGATTTGAATAGGTTGTCCAAAATAATGAAAAGTATCATGTTAAGTCTTTGAACAGTATGTGACTTTTTAAGCCAAATAACCAAGGTACAAAATTTTTTTTTAATTTCTCAGACCAAAAATATGTCTTTTTTATTTGAAAGCAGGTAAAAATTTTGTTCAAAAGATTTTGACAACAAAATAATTTTTTTTATTTCTCGTGATCTTATACTTTTTGAAATATAATGAATATTTAAAGTTTTTTTTCTAATCTTTTAATAGAAAATTGAATTATTCTCCTTTTCATTGTGTGTTTGAGCTAATATGGTGGTGTCAGAAAATTTGTCCAAAAGAGTAAATAATTAGATATTAACATTTCTACTCTGATAAGAAAAGATTACAGAACTAACTAGAAACTCTTGTTGCTACAGCAACAAAAACGGTCTTCTGTTCTCCTCTCTTTATCTGTATGAATGAGCTTTTATCTATGTGAAAAAAGGCATATAATATTTACAATGATTACAGGAAAACAAACGGTCGGAGGTGTAACTTACCAAGATTCTCGACGTTACTTAAGACAATTACATATATAGTCTTAATAACATTTATAAAAATCATTTTCAATTTTTTTTATCACTTCCTGTGATGACCGGAAGTGACGGCGGACCCATTTTACCGTATATCTGTAGCCAAATCTTCATGGTTTATTATTCATACAGGTTCAGTGTCTTCATCCGTTACAGTTTAAGAGATCTCGTAATGTTAACTTCTCATTTTGATGACTACAAATCACGTGACCGGAAGTAAATTTAAAAAAAAAGATATTTGAAGTTACTCTAGACATTTGCAGTTTGAATAACATGTCCTAAAATCATTTCAAATACTCTTTTTATGAAAGACATTTATGGGATAGTATATGATACTAAATTTATGCAGTTTTTCTTTCATAACCAGAAGTTGTCGTTTTTGTTTCCAGTGGGACTGACATATTTCAAAACTACAAATAAAATGCTATAATGTAATATTAAGAAAGATTCCATAAAGAAAAGTTAAAATATTTGATTTATTTGATCATTTCCTGTGATAATCGGAAGTGACGGCGGACAATCTTAACCCAGATGGATTTGCCTACTCATCAAGATCTACCACTCCTATAAGTTTGGTGTCTTAATCTTTTACCGTTACGAGATCTAGCTATGATAACTTCTAATTTTGAGGACAGAAAATCACGCAACCAGAAGTGAATTTTACAAAGATATTTTACATTACTGTAGACGTTTGCAGTCTGAATAACATAACAAAAAA